ATATGATCAAATAATCAATATTGCATAAAGCATATCTTTTAAATAAGCCACCTAACTTTAGCTTAGGCAATAGTAGTAAAATAGAATATGAGTATATATAATATACCTCACGGGAACAAATAAGAGGTAATTAAGTTTTTGATGTTATTTGACTTCTCAATTTCCTTTTATTAAAAGTTTCATACTTAAAAACATTAATTCATCTCTCTCACACACATACACACACAATCTCTCATGTCTACCCTGTAGAAAGTTGTAAAACAGTAAAATTGAAAGAAAATAATTACTAATATATTCTTTATTCAAAATAACTTAAAAAATCAATAATTTCTTCTAGAAAGTAAAATTATATATAGCATAAGCAGAGGGAATAGTGATTAAGAGTTAATCCTTTTTTGTATAATAAAAAAACATAGCTTTTAATCTAAAGACCATCACATGACGCCAATATATATGTGGAGCATATAATTGATTGAATGCAAGTGATGACATTCCACATGAAATTTTAACGCATTGACTCGCAAAAATATTAAACTGGCCTTCGTCGACTAGTATACGACTACGTGGTTATATTAGCCTTTTTTATATATTTTAATTAACCAGAACGTGGTCACATAACATTAGTTTGGTTAACCCAATAAAACTGTTTTGCATGACAATGTAATAACTGAAACAATGCACACGTAAGAGTTATACAAAATTAGGAAAATAGAGAAATTAAAGCGTAAACTTACGCAATCTGTTTATGCATATGAGGAATCACAACCACAAAGCCAACAATAATGTAATTAAATTCATGAATCATATGAGTAAAACGGCGACGTGTCATCATCTGAAAAGCGCATTTTTGACCCTATGAAAAGTCAAGATTTCTTAAAGGCTCTTCTATTTATAGATTCAAAGGTCAAAATATTCGCCTCCAGAACCAACTCTCGCCCTTCAAATAGCGTGTGAAGCTTGTCATTTAAAACAGATGCGTCGCCATTTTCACACCCCCATCACCGGCTCTCCCTGTTTCCCGGTTCACATCTTCGCGTATCCCTCCGCCACGTGTCCTTCCCCTTGTACCTATAAATACACCAACCATCCCGTTTCCCTCGTCTTTCTTATCCTTCACCAACATAATTCCAACCTGAAAATTTTCTGTCATCTATTTTTGTCTCATTTCAAATTTCTCTAATATTTTCTTGGATGAAAACGAACAGGGAGGCACAATGGTCGCAGAGTCTTCTGGTTTTCACCGGCCCAGTTTCGGAGCTCTACTGCACTCCGATCCAACGTCGTTTTGCTCTAGCAGCTACGAAAGCGAGGATTCGACTTCGAGCCCGTTTCGCTACGCCGACAGCACCACCACGAGCAACGTTAGTTCTCCTTACCTGATGTCTCCGTGGAACCCGGCGGCCTCGCCGTACAAAAAATCTCCCTGGTTGCTGTCGTCGCCGATGCGTGGATATAATACCTACGGCGACGACCACGACGTCCAAAATATGCTCATCAAGTCACTCATCCGCGAGGAGGGTAACATATATTCTCTGGCGATTTCTGGGGATTTGTTATACACCGGCACCGATAGCAAAAACATAAGAGTCTGGAAGAATCTCAAGAGCCACGGGGGCTTCAAATCGAGCAGTGGACTGGTGAAAGCCATTATTATATCCGGCGAGAAAATCTTCACCGGCCACCAGGACGGAAAGATCAGAGTATGGAAGAGCTCACAGAAAATTCCTGGCTATCATAAACGCATTGGAACTTTGCCCACTTTCAAGGACTATGTCAAAAACTCGACGAATCCTAAGAACTACGTGAATATCCGGAGGCACAAAAAGACGCTGAGAATCAAACATTTCGACGCTATTTCGAGCCTGAGTTTGGACGAAAATAATGGGCTGCTATACTCGGGCTCGTGGGACAAAACTTTAAAAGTGTGGCGGATATCGGATTTCAAATGCTTGGAATCTATCCAGGCACATGACGACGCTGTGAATTCGGTGGTGACCGGGTTCCTGTACTTCACCTTGACCGGTTCGGCGGACGGGACAGTGAAGATGTGGAGGAGAGAGACCACGTGGGATGGGAAGACCAAGCACGTCCTTGACCGGATTCTGTTGAAGCAGGAGAACGCCGTAACAGCTCTGGCGGTGAACACATGGTCGACGGTTATATATTGCGGATCGTCGGACGGGATGGTGAACCTGTGGGAACGTTATCCGAAGAACAACCTCAGGCACGGCGGTATCCTGAGAGGTCACAAGCTCGCGGTTCTATGCTTAGCCGCCGGGAAGAACCTGGTGTTCAGTGGGTCGGCGGATAAGAATGTTTGCGTGTGGAAAAGGGAGGTGAATGGGTCCCACACGTGCCTTTCGGTTCTGACGGGCCACACCGGACCCGTAAAATGCATAGCTGCTGAGCAAGAAGAACCAGAAGAGAACAAACACCAGAGGTGGACGGTTTACACGGGGAGCCTGGACAAGTCCGTAAAGGTGTGGCGCGTGTGTCCTCACGCTCCGGATACGAGGACAGGACAGGCTTGGGAAGTAACACGCACGGTCCTAAGATCCCATCAGCGGAGAGAGTGAGCTTTCCTTCGCCTGTAATGAGTGGGAGAAACGGGAAAGAAAGCAAGATGCGTTCATGGGTGTGAAAATGGATGAAGGAGGCGACGATACGCTAGTTGAATGGCGGTGATGGCCGCGCGTGAATCTAGATGGGCGGTTTGGCGGGCAAGTGGGCCTCGAGTAAAATTTAATGGTCCGTGATTGGTGAAGCGTGGGAAGTCACAACCAAATAGCTTAATGGGGAAGGGACTAATAGGAAACAGACACGTAGGTGACAACGTTAAGCAAGAGCATCGCCAGAAGATACGGAGACACGGGCGCACGCCTGGGACTCTTAACAACCTTTAATTTGTGTATTGGGATCCAGTGAATGGTTTCCAAGTTTTGGGTTGAGGAAGAAGTGATGTTATTTAGTAATACTCTAGCTATTATAGTGGTTAGAGTTTGTGTAAAATGTAAATGTATTATGGACCGCGACCTGGTTGTGAATAATAGTAATAACAGTGTAAAGTTAATGATTGAGAAAATGAGAATCATTTGCAAGTTTTGGTGATGCACATCAATGTCATTGATGATTGGTGCTTCACTCTCAGATTTACAGCTGGAATAATAGAGATGGTGAAACTTGTGGAGAAATATCCTACAGAACAATGTTTCATTTAATATATATATATATATATATATATAGTATTTGTAACATATATAGTACACTATACATTTAAATTTATTCATGACTCAAACAGCAACGTACGTAGTCGTCACCCAAAACCCAGATGAAGACAAACATTGAGTCCACGAATTGAACAAACTATAACAAGAAAACGCAGCACAAATATATGGCAAAAAAGCAAAAACTAAAAAACAAAGAAATATGACAGCAAGGCAAGAACAAATCAAGACACACTTAGAAGCTTACTAAAAATGAATGAATTAAAAAGAAAAATGTAGAAATAATATAATTAAAGAAAATATGTGAGCACATTTATAAGAGAGAGAAGTAATTTAGTTTATGAGATTAGAAATCATGATTCATGATATTTTTTTTAAGAGTGTGTGATGAATCTTACATTTATAGTATATATTAATGAGTTTTATCATATCTACTATGAAGAGAATAATAATTTAGTTTATCTTTTTCTTAATTTTTTAATCTATTTCATTCCGTTGGTTTTTAGTAACCAAACGGGGCCTAATTTTATATTTTCTAGACTCTATATATGTATTGCACACTTTTTTTTTTCCATGCCTATAAGCTCAAAAAAGCGCTTGTAACTACAGAGGTATGTATGGATCGCTCATCAACAAGGTAGAAATGAATCTATCATTAAGTTAGTGACTAAAAATATTTGTCATTAATTAATAAATTTTTATTACTAATTTATTTTATCATTAAAATGTTTTTTAAGGTCTAATTAGTATCATGTCATGTTCCATGTCACCTTTCAAATACACATCATCCTGCCATTTGTTACATCATTATCATGTCAATAATATACATTAATTCTTTACTTGTAATATTGCCTTGTCTTGAACCTCTTGCACCTTTGTCAGTTGAGCTGTAACTTGTAATGACTTTTTAATAATAATATACAAATATATATATATATATATATTACTTAATTGAACACATAAATTTAATTTAATTTATTTTTTATATATTTAATATACTCTTCTATATTATTAGTTAAATATATATGTACGTTAACACGTATACATACTCCTATATAATTCAATAAATATTATTAGTTAATAAAAATATTTTTTTAATATCATTTAATATATATTATGGAAATAAATGTTTGTGTATATTATTTTATGTAATCTATGTTATAATTAAGATATTTTCATACGATAAAAATATTATTTTTATATTTAAACTTGCATATTAATAAAATAAAAAACTATTTTTATTTTTGTTATATTATTTTATATTATATATTTTACTTGTACTAAGAGAAAAAATTACTTGTGTAATTATTTAATTTGACAATTTTGAAAGATTTTTTATGTGAATCTTTCTATGTGTATTATAATTTTTTTATTTATATAAAATATTTTTAATTAAAAATATCCATTACTAATCTATTACTAATATAAAGATTTAGTGATAAAAATTAGTGATAGACTTAAATTGGTCATTAAATTTGTAAAATTTTATCAACATGTGATGATATCTTACATCCATCACTAATTTATATAATTAGGTTTTAGGGTTAATGTAATTAGTGACAGATTTGTCATAAAATGTCTGTCGCTAATGTCTATAATTACTAACAGAGTGGAGATCCATGACTAATTTTAGCTTGTCTATTAGTGTTTGTTTATGTGATGTACAAATTAAGAAAACCATGCATACTGTGGTTCAGTTGGCAAGGAGTTGGCTCATAAACTCAAAATAGTTCTTGCTTCTAATGTGAGAACCTTGTTGGTACAATATCCCAACCTCCCAGCTTCAACAAAAAAAGCTCGTTTAGCCTAAATAGAATCATCAATTCTCTCTAATTTCTTGATGGTACTGCTACAACTACAATACAAAAATAGTAGACCAAGCGTGGTTTTTTTACGCCATGTCGGGGGTGCTGTTTGAGTTGTGGTAGGGATTTTCCTTTCTGGGCATCGTTTTTTCCTTTTGCTACTTTTGTTTCTGTCCGGACTCTTGCGATGTTCCTGGAAATGAGTAATCCTGTTCAAAATATCTATGCTGAGACGGATGCGAAGAAAGTCACAGCGAAAGCAATCCCAGCACCTTGCTATTTGAGGACGCTGCATAGGGTGGCTCCAAATACAGAGACTCAGTATCAAGGTTGCCTGAATTTCTCTCTCCAAACATGCTTCAAATTTCTTCTTTAGTGCTCTTTCCCTCTAAAAAGCCAGATCTTAATGAAGCTATAAGGAGGCGACATGATTGGGAAGAAGCAGCATAACAAAGATTAGATGTTCGTCACAAAAACAGAGTAGAAGGCGAAAGGTGGGAGGACCCAAAATCCAAAGATTGCCATTGAGAGCTCCTACAAGTGTGTGAGCCTTCCTCTATTACTTTTTTAAATTCCATCATAATTTTTCTGTGATAGTTAGTCTGAGTCCTGGTAATTTGTGCTGCTCCAATCTATTTAATCACTTTTCCATTTTGGAAAAAGTTTATCCCTATTTCTTTTCCTATTTAAAATTTAAAATCCCATGTCTGTTAGTCTTAGCTTGATGATGGCTGCTTATGCAGGCTCTTGAATCGAGAAGGATGAAAATACCTATGTTAGCCAAATTGAGAGGTAATGTTATGAATTTCATCTCTTAATTTTTTGATGCAAGTCTGAATGATCAGAACTATTATGACTTTGATTATTGTTGGAAGAATAGAGCTTCTTTTTTTTTTTTGGGAGAAATTGACAGAATTAAAGGAGGAGTATAAGTATAGCAAAAACTTCGAGCTAAATCTCACCAATTTTTGTATCCATATTTTATTTTGCCCTCACTGTGAATCTCTCTCCCCTTCTAAAATTTCAAATGGTGGAGAGACTGCTTTGATGTTCATATCTTGTGTAACGTCTATTCTTGTGGGTGGAAGTTAAAAGGAATGTGGTAATCTTACTGATATGTTATATACTTAATTGCTTCATGTTTCCATTATATGTAAGCTTTTCAGGACTTATTGTAGTCACTGACAAGCTTTGGTTTTGGGAATTTTGAGTTGTCAAGTTAATGACAAATAACATAATGGGAAGAGTTCATCTCAATAGTAGCTAAATCAGTTGACATTGATAAAATCATGATGTCCGTAACTACGACGAAATTGATATTGGGCTGAATAAATTGTTCATGTCAATAACAGCAACAATTGTTATCTATCCCTTCTTCAACTTATTTCACACATCTCATTTTTGTTTATAGAACTCTAGACTAATTTGTGCATCCGCAATGCTTAATTTGCTGCTCTCTCTCTTTTATTTATTGAATTTGTTTGGCTCAATCTTTATGCTTTCTTTGTACTGCTGCTTTAGCATCTGAAACAATGAAATGCAGAAAGTTGAAGTTTCCCTCTTTTGGAAGGAAGTCTTACTTAGTGAGGTTTGTTGAGCTTTTACTTCCCTTAAAAAATTATTAGTTTTGATATATAGTCTTTGAATCTGCAACGTAATATATAGGGCTATTTGAAACTTGTGGTCTGATAATGAGTGATGTGTGCAATTAGCAAACTTCTGTGGGAATTAGTATGATTTGATGCTTGCTTGATTTAGGTTTCCCTACACACCATAATTTTCCCACTCTTGACTATTCCATTGTAATTATTTGATCATGTGCTTGTTGGAACTTCAAATGTTGCAAAACCATGAACTCCTCAGTTAAAAATTAGAACTCCCTTCTATCCATTTCTCTCTTCGTTTAGAGGCCAAGGCAATAGATCAATCATCAATATGCCTGCATCTTTGTTGACCTCGTAATTTCTTTTGCATTTTGTTTTGTTTGGGTCTATATTTTTTCCCCGTTTTTGCAAAAGCAATGGATTCCACCCTTGTAATCTATATTCTGAAAAACAAATGCAACACAAGAGACATTGTAGGATTATTAGTACACAAGATGTTGCACGTAGCTTCTTGCAGGATTTAGAAAGAGCATATAAGGGGCCACTCAAAAAGAAGTGTGGGGAATTGGTTTTGACTTGGGATTTTGGGTAATTGCTTTAGAGTGGCTTCTGACGGTTCAAATACCCCCAAAAAATATAATAATTTTTATATATTCAATCAATGCATGCTCTTGCTCACATATATTTATATATAGATGGGTGTATTTTTTTTTTTTTCATTTTCTATCCCTTTATCTCAGTGTGTTTCTTAATCAACGTTGTTAGTGTTATTGGCTTTGGAGGAACCCTTATAAATCTTGTGATTTTGGACTGACCATCAAATAATTGTTCTAATTTCATCTCTTTCCTATTTTTCTGCCTATTGGCATCTTTTTACACCTTATCTGAAATTACATAGAACCTCATGATTATTTCAAACGCGTCCAATAGTCTAATTTTGGTTTCTAAATTCTTTGATTTTGCCAAGTGCCCAAGTGGTTTGATTTAGTGAAGTCAAAGTTGTAGGTGAAACCTAATCTTTTTAATTGCTTTATCATTCTGGTAAACTGATATGCTCATTGTTGAATATACGCAACTTTTTGTGATCTGCGAGAATCAGAAACATGTTTTGAGGTTGCAGAAAATTTTTATTAACTATATTGCAGCGTTACTTGCTTAAGAAGAAGCAACATGGAGTTTACTGCAGAATCTCTTAAATACTCCAAAATGGCAAATTAAAATATTTTTTGTTATTACCTATAAAAATAATATTATCATATTTACTTAAGAAAGTTGTTGGAGTCTTCCAAGTGACATCTGATATCTTGTTTTATGCTCAAATGTTTAAAATTTAACCTTTAAGTAGTTGACAAATTAAAAGGTTCACTTGCAGAATGCAGCATCACATATAGACCCTCTTTATTTTTCACAAATCTCTTTTATAATATACTTATTACATGTCCAATTTTTTGGGGGATAAAAAACAAAATTAGAAATCCATGTGCAAGCTATGGCCTTGGGACAAATCTGGGATTTGAGGGGGTTTGATTTCCTTATTATGAGACTGCATTGTAAATTCTAGGAAACATTTAACTATTGGTTTAGTGTATAATAGCCAGGGCTGTGTGAAAAAGTTTTGGAGCCTAAAACAAAATTATTTAAGAGGCCTAACATATTTTCATTAATCTATTTTCATATTATTTTTTTTCAATTTGTTAAAATCATATTCAACATTTTTGCCGCTCCAAATTTTATAAAAAAAAAATTACAACAATCACAATTTCAAACAAAACATGAAAGAATAAACACACCTGATATAGCCAATACTTAATATCATAACTAGTGTGTTTTTTGCTTCTAAGAAAAATTCTCATTTTTAAATAAAAGTCTATAGTTAACATTAATATCTGACATAAAAAAAATGACCGATCTTATAAAAATAGAAAAATATTTTTGGCATAACAGTTCACACGAACTTGATAATAGTTAAGAGTCCATTTAGTTTTTCTCTGTTTCACGTTCAAAAAGCAAAATTTTACTTTCAAAAAGTTAAAGGTTGTTTGGGTAGAACATTTTGTAGAAAAGTATATTCTAAAAGTACATTCGAATAGCAGGTGAAAGTGAATTTTTGAAACATAATTATTTAAAGCTTTTGAAAAATGAGATGTTATTTGACTATACTATCCTACGTTTAATCTCTTATTTTTTTATTTAAAAAATAATTAATTCATTAATAATATAATTATTATTTTAATAATACTAATTTGGTATAATAAAAATTACACATCTTTTAAAATTACAAATTAAAAAATATAAATAATTAGAGATTAAATTTTTAGCATTATAGATCAAAATTTATGTTATTTAAAATTTTTATTATATTTTTTAAATATTTTAAATATATTACATTTGTATAATAAAAATTATAAATCATTATGAATCAATGTCTTTTTTGATAATTGTACATTCAAAAGCACATTTTACTATCACAAATCAAATAACTTTCAATGTATCAAATTGACTTTTGAAAAAATATATCCAAATACAAATTTCGTTACAAAAATTAACTTTTATTAAATTGATTTTTATCAAATGGATTTTCACTAAATGAACTTTTGACAAACTAAAAACCAAACGCATACTAAGTCTATTTTCTGTTATCCTGAGCTTTGCTTGAGCATGTCATAGAATTCGGATGGTCCATGGATATAAGAGCAACTATGGAACTTTCTTTTTTAGTTTAGTAAGCTGAATTATTAGCGTCTCGATAAATATTTTCACCAAACAAGCATGACAATGATGTTATGTTGCTAGGAATTGCTATGCATGAATAAATTGTTCAGTAAAGATTTTGCCGGAGAATACATTATGTTCTAAGTTCTAACAAAAAATTCTCTCATTTATTGATTTAAAAAAAAAATCCCTCATATAGATTATAATGCAGATTTGAGTTATTGGAACTTGACTTCTTATATGTATGTGTGCGCACAGATAATGTTGTTATGTTCTATAAATTATATACCGTAATATTTTAATCAAAATATATTATATTAATTAATTTCTTTTATATTTAATTTTATCTAACAGATATTCAAGTACACTTGTAATCATTGTAACAAATCAAATGATTATGTATTTTCTCAAACAAAATTGTAAAGTTATTTTTTTTTTTTTTTTTGAGTTTAGACTACAGATCAACTACTTTTGTGCGCGCGCGCGTGAAGAACTTGGGACCTGGGGGCAACTACGAAGAAGAAATTTGTTGGGTCTAACAATTTTTATGTGCCATCTGCTGGGCCTTGTTTGCCCTTTGATCCATTGCCCCGCTCGTTAGAAAGAACAAGTTCCCGTCATTCTAAGCCACAGCCCACAGGTATTTAAGAATTTGGTATGTTTGGAACCCGTTTTGATCGAAATAATGCGACTGTATTATTATCTTAAACGGTGTAAAAGCATTTTTCTAACCAGTTTTTATTTTTTTGGCATGAAAGGATGATGTTTCCATGGGTCAACCTACATTTTTATCCCCGAACTTTTTTAAAAAGGCATAGGACATCCTATATTGATAAGTATGTCAACTTTTTTCCTAAATTATTTTTTTAAAGAACAAAAAATCTCTTCTATTATTCAATAGTCAACTTTACTGTTTTATATTGATGTAACATGTTACTATGCAATAGGGATAAATTGCAGTTTTAACACCAAAATACATGGTTAGAGTCCATTTAGCTTGGGTAAATTGGCCACAATTGGGTAAAATTGTAATTTACTCTAAAATATGCACATTTGTTGCGGCCAACTAGTCACAAGTTGTTCATCATGGCATATCTTGCTTTTTGTTGCGGCACACATGTCTTATCATGACAACACACTTGCTATCATAATAGCATCGGAGTCAAACTTTCGGCATGCGCCATTTCACCATTGGAGATCTGATCAAAGTTGTTTAAACACTTACATGAAGCTAGTTCTGTCTTTTATCTAATGGCACTAGTTTTCCAACAAAAAGATATGCCGATTAAAAGTTGGGCACTTGGATGCAAAATGTTATATTTTAAAGTTTTAACACACATTTAGAGTTCCAAATCCAAACTGAGTACCACATTATAAATCAAAGCTTGAATCAAGTCTGATGTACACAATCACTCCTGATTGAGCAATTGTACACATGATATCATTACTTGAATACATTTTGGCCGACAAAACATTTAATCACAACATATTATGATTAATAACCCTATCATACACTAGCATGAGTAATTGGGCCACAACACATAGTCTCACCAATACATATACATTCCATACCAAATTACCAAAATAAGCATCTTAATAGATCATGTAAGTACAATACAAAATAATAGTATGCACCTAGTTGACAATATAGATATATGAATGTATATTCAATTACACAAAATGATTCAAAAGTCCAAGGGCAATACAATGAAGCAAAGCTCATTTACTCCTTGCCTTGACTATCCTGCCTCTTGCCTCTAGTAACGCTATTGTGCTAACACCTATAAAAATTATAACCATAGAGATTGAGGATTTTTTCACGATTTCAAAAATGAGTATTATGCGAAATAAGACTGCTAACAGTGTCACCAGCGCTTTGCTTGTCTACATGCATAGGCCACCAAACTGGGTGGTTGAGGGGGATTGATTGACCATTACCAACATTCCAAAAAAGATTATCAACAAGGAGGCTTTTCGGTTTGAGAATTCCTTTCCACATCCAAGATGCGTTGGATTGAAACTTGAGGAGATGAATGGATCCAAAGTCAACATATTTGATTTTGAGAGTGCTTCCAAGAAGGGAGGATGGTCAAGCAGTAAAGACACGCCAGATTTGCTTAGCAAGAAGAGAGTCGTTAACATGACCAATTTGACGAATGCTGAAACCATTGATATTGGAGTCATTGCAAAGGATATCCCATTTTGCCAAATGCATGCGTTTACAACCACCTTGAGAACCCTAAAAAAATTACAGTAGAGACTATCAATTTTTTTATGAACATAGACTGGAAGCTTGATACAAGATAAATGGAAAATACAAGAGGGGAATAAAACAGACTTGATGAGAGTGAGCCTAGGGGCTAGACACAGAGCTTTGATTTTTCAATCTTCAAGCTTGTTCTCAATTTTTTGAAGTATGATGTCATAAATAAGCTTTTTACTTTTTCCCATATCGATTCAGGTTCCCAAATATTCCCTTAGTTTGTTGGAGAAGTATATGTTGAAGATTTTGGAGATTGATACCTCATTTAGAGATCTTTGAATTTGATGCCGGGCAGAATCTTTATGATCCTTCAATCATTTGCAAACAAGCACTCATAGATCTCTGCTACATAAAACCGTATAGAATAAAAGATGGAAAACATAGTTCTTTATATGAGAAATATTTCTTGTATTCTTAAATAGAAAAATTTACAAATAGCCAATAGGGATTATTTGATAAAACATCCAATTTTTTTAATTACCTAACAGACATGGATAATTTGATTATTAACTAAAATCTCATTTAAAAAAATATAAGATAAATATAGGTTCACTCTCAACGATATTAACACAATAATACTAGCAATGTCTAACAGGATAGGAAAAACAAAACATAGTAATTATATTTATTTTCATTTCCTTCACAGCTAAACTATATTCTTTCTATTAAAAAATGTAAGATATTTTTTGAGAGGTTAAATGTTTAAAAATATAAGACATTTTTAATATTACAATGTGTAATTAATATGTTTTTTTCACAATTGTCTATAATATATATTCATTTTATATTTAGTTTAAAATAGAATACCTTAATAAATAAAGATAAATGAGAAAAGAAGATGTTAATTTAAAAACAGTTAATAAGTGAGATATTTTTTAAAGGATGGAGTATATGTTTAAATTATTGGTAGTTAAGTAATAATTTATAATTATTATATGCTGTCGCCAATATAGATGAGAAGCTGCTTTACTTTCACTTGTACTTGCTTAAACTCGTTGACTGATACAACCAATCCAATGCTTCATGAACGTGACCCTCGTCCTAATTTATATCTTCAGTAATAATTTAATATCTTTGGATTATTTCCTCAATCAATGGAAGACTTTATTGCTGTAAATATAGTCAAAGCATATAAACTCAATTCAAGGAAAAAGAAAAGAATTTTATAGTCCAATTTGTGTTTTTATTTTCATTTTTTCAGCTGACCATTTCTTTTCGACGAAGACAGCTCATTCGTCGGCCAATCGTCTATTTTTCTATTGATTAAAATGGTTCTTCTCCTGCATTGCAGAAGAGCATTTTAATTAAAAAAACAAAAAGCAAAAATGAAGATGTATAGTAAATGCAAAATGGATCTTCTAAGATTAGATTTTTTTTTGGGGGAGAATATCATTAAAAGACTTCTGAAATGATCAGATAAGGACTTATAATAAGTAAACATTAATAAGTAACAAGTCAAAGTTTAAGTTTTAACAAATATCATACCTATCCAAATCCTTGTTTGATATTAAATCATATTAATAGTCCTTTATTGATACTCCATTTTTTTTGTTAATTTCTGATGAATTTTAGAAAGGTGTACAGTAAAAATGCAAAATTTGTCAGTCATTTGATCAGAAAGTTTCACTTAAATCAGTAAAATATTACTTGAAAAATAAACCTCAGGCACTTCGTACGAAAAAAAAGTTGATAGTGTTAATTCTGTGAACATTTAAGGCTGATAAAATCTGTGTAACTCGCCATTCATGTGATACATGGCCAGGCCAGCAGCGTCGTGCTCTGGACTGAATTGATTATTTTTCTGGCAACAAACCTGCTCTTTAACTCTTGTCAATGACTAACTGTTCAAAGTAAAACAAGTGAAAAATAATTGAACGACGCCGATAAGAAGAAAAAAAGAGATACTAGAATGATGCGTCACAAGCAGCTATAAAGGAACTAAAACAGAAATTTCACTTGTCCATTCACCCCAAAAAAAGAAAAGAACAGAAATTCACTTGTCTGTTTCCACAAGACCATCATATCACATAAGATAATAGCAACTCAAATTTACTCATTTTAATCAATAAAAAGAAAATGTTTGTTAAGAAATTTAGCAAAATAAAATATAGTTTGTCTATCCTCTAAAATTCCACACTTCACAATACATCTTATTTTGGAATCACTTTCACAATAACAATAATGTACCTTTCATTTGTCTGGGATTCTATACAGGATTTACAAAATCCATATTTTCCTGGAAATATTTGCTAGACGCTTGAAAGTACAAGTATCACGCAGTTTCAAGAAGATTAAGCCGTTTCAACCACCACTTATTGGAGGTATAATAGCCAACTCATCTGTGTCTTTCACAATAGCTGACTCTGCGGCATATTCTTCGTTCAAAGCCAGAACTACGCACTCTCTTATTTCTTCCAATCCTGGAAACTTGACCAGTAGCTTTTTCAAACAGTCATGAGCAGTACTTCCAGATGGAATCTCCAATGGAAACTCGCTCAATCCTGTAATATCACGAGCTCTGGCAAAGAATAGTACTTTTAATTTCACCAATGACTTGTCTTGAATCTTGATTTCCCCTTCCATTGTATCTGATATACTAGTTTATACCATAATCAGCCTTGAACAAACAAATGAATCATGACATCTTTCATGCAAAACTGCAATAAATGCATGGTGGTGATCGTCGAAACCTAGGATCACAGCTTATTAACTGCCGAAATAAAATCATATGGCAGCTTCACCGTGAAAATTTATGGTCACTAAAGAGAGGGGAACATAAAAAACAAAAATAATAAAGGACACATAATTTTGATCACATTCACAGAACAATAGATGTACAGTGGAGATACAAGTAAACGCCATTATCAATCTTATGCGTTATGACTATCCACTATTCCAGTCTCGGCTAGTCCACTAGACAAGCCCCACCTCAGAATCCAGTGCTTCCGATGTGGTGTGCGACTCAGTTCTCATGTTTAGCAACTAAGCCTTAACTTCACCTACAGGGCCCAAGGCTAGCACCACCAGACAAGCATTTCAACGAACACCATTTAAAAAATCTGGGCAAACAGATCACTTGAATAATTGTCTAATGAGCTATTCTAATATAATATATTTTTTCTATTTGACAACATAAATACTCAGCTAATTAGAACATAAATATAATTTCGTGATATAATATAATGTATTTGGCTTTCTGACATTCAGCTTGCCAGCCAAATCAGAAACAAAAACATTTTAGCAAGAGCTAGCATGTTTGCTGCATGAGGATTTTCTTAAGAACTAGCATAATACAAAAGGAACAGAAATTAATAAAACGTTATACTGTATAACGTTAAGCGCATTGTATTTTTCTGCACAGTTGCAGTAACACTTATCTTTCTAAAAATAATATAAAATGCACGAACAGCCATAAAAACAAGTATGGCTAGAGAAATTCTGAAACATTTGTTTCTGTTGTAAATGATGGCCTATTCATCTTGACTATAAGATTGTAAATGAATTTGATATGCTCAATGAACTAGTAAATTATGCCCTATTCATCTTGGCTTGTAACCTACCAAACTCTAAAGCAGCCTACAGAACGTAATTAGTTATCTCAGTCACTATATCTTAGCCTCGCATATTTAAGCAGAATAAATAATAAATGATTCCCACAACTTCAAATTTTGTGAATTATCCAGTATGAGTATTCAAAATATTTTACAATGCATTCAAGTTGGCTGTTTGAACCGAACTACAACCTGCTTTATTCAAAAACCCCCTGACTTTCATCTCTTTTCTGACTGTTTCGACTTTGATCCACCATTCTGCAGAAGCATACAAATTGGACAGAGCTACATAATCCTCGCTCCTAGGAGCCAAGTCATCAAAGCTCTGCTCTTGAAGTTGCAGGAGAAGATTCCCCACCTTCTCGCCCATGGCAGTGTCCCCATGAATCTTGCACGCACCAAGCAAACTCCTCCATAGCACAGCATCTGGACGAACTGGCATTCCCATGATAAAATCATAAGCTTCTTTTAATCGTCCGGCTCGACCAAGAAGATCGACAATGCAACCATAATGTTGCATGTTTGGCATCACCCCAAGCTTTTTGTTCATATCACAGAACAAATCAATGCCTTCTTGAACAAGCCCAGCATGACAACAAGCAGAAAACAAGCTCGTAAAGGTTGCTGCATTTGGCTTCATTCCATTAGCTCCCATTTCATATAAAAACGCCAAGGCTTGTTCTCCTTTCCCGTGGATAGAAAGGCCAGTAATCATTGCCGTCCAAGTCAAGACATTCTTTTGATTCATCCGCTTGAAGACTAACAAAGCGCTTTCTAGACACCCACATTTGGAGTACATATCAACAAGCCCAGTGCCAATATACACATCATCTTCGGGGACACACATCGTCTTCTCTGCAAACCCATGTAGGGAAGCACCTATTTCTAGCATACCCAGTTGAGAAGCTGCTGAAAGGACACAAACCATGGTAGTATCTGTGGGCATAACCCCACTCTCATCCATCAACATGTCCCGAAACAAAAGCAGTGCACTGAAAGCATATTGTTTATGTCCTGCCCTTTGGGAAGAATAACCAGTTATGATTGCATTCCACGTGACACTACTTCTTTCTGACATTTCATTGAACACCCTTCGTGCCGATTTGATGTCCTTGTTGCTCGCGTAAAAATGTATCCCTGTAGTTGGAACCATTATATTTGACATAACTCCGTGTTTTACGATGCGGGCATGAAGTTGTGTGCCCAGCAATAATGTTGAAGTTGAAGGAAAGCGAGCACAAGCTCCGAGAATAAAAATGTAAGTGTAATCATCAAAAACCATGTCTCCCTCGGAAAATGCACTTTGGAAAAAAAGGATAGAGTCCTTGGGTTGACAACATCTTAACAAGGTATTGAAGAGAAACAAGTCATGCTTATCAGCGTACTGGAACATCAAATGCGCATGATTGGCGATGTGTTGGTGCGATGAGCCACAATAATGTTCAATTAGCTTGGCCAAGAGAGGGGGAGATTTGAGGCCATTGATGATCAGCTGGGCATGTATTTGTTGAATGTGGCTGCTTGTTTTGGGTAGAGAATCTAACATGGAGATACATTTTAGCCTTCGAAAGGAGGAGGACATGTGATCGACGAACTACATCCCACAATTTGGGATTTCAATCGTTGGATCTTCTAGTGGTTTTTTATTCGAAGTTCTTGTCTTGGCATTTTTAGGGGTTACTTGGGGTTCCAATATTCATTCTCACCAATAAAAAGGATTTGAATCTGTTGAAAAATATGAATCATGATGCTTACAAAACATGTGAATCATGAATTGTTAAAAAGCAAAATATTTGACATAATTTTATTTTTAATAAAAACTTTATACTTACATAAGAAGATTTATTTGTTAGAGAAACTATTTTTCTATGTTTTTAATATACTTAGTCAAACAAACTTGATTTGTCTCTTCCTAGTAACACAGTACGTTAACTATTTCATAAACTTGGATGCGAATGAAGAAGAAGAACATGGATCATTCAAAACCAATGGGACTCACTAGTTAAAAAATATATTGAGTTGAAATATATATTGAATGTGTTGAAGAGAAGAACGGCAAATATTGAGATGAAATATATATCAGATGCATTGAAATATTAAATATATATCAAATACGGTAGACAAGACAAAGAATGGCAAGGGACTCGCTGGTGTTGATTTCAAATGCGGCCACAAACTCAGACACCAGACGAGATCTGTGCATTCGCACTAATGGATGAGAAGAGAAGACAAGATTGAATAGAAACTAAAATGGGAGTCATACAGACGAGACTACAGAGACTCAGTACCAGTGAAGCTGGAGATCGCAGTGACAACCTCAAACTCATGGAGAAGAGAAGATGAGTGTCGACTAAAGAGAAAGTGATGATTATATAATTAGGGCAAAGTGAGGAAGGATAGGATTGTCTGAAAAAGTCATAACCATGGATAATTTGGCCAGTAAAAAGATCATTCCCGGGAATGGATCCCCATTCCTCTGATCTGTTGATGGAAGAGCCATTGCCTCAAATGATGGAATGGGCCATAGCATTGGAGTCGTTACTCCTATGCACCAAAGACCCAGATTGACCCTCTTCCATTCCCACCCATTCCCACGAACCAAACATGGCCTAATACCAAATAATAAGAAACTTTGGGAAGACTACGTTCAAAAAACTAGCTAATGAGATTAAAATACCTTAGATACCTATGAACTCTGTATCATAATTAAATGGTTTCAAGATAAAGTGATTTTCCAAAGCATCCTTCGGTAGCTACTACTGAAGGAAGATATAGACACCAAGTAGGGCAATAAGTTGCTGAAAAGGTTGAAAAATACTTGTCTACAGTACAATCAGAACTCAGAAGCAATAAAAATTCTACATACTAATGTTGATTGAAGATAATGAAGGCAGAATTTGAGTTGTTCCTAAATATAACCAAATCAAAGTGTAGGCTTTTCCCATATTTTATAGGTGTGGAAGCATATGATCTATTATACTTTAAACGCTTCCTAACTTGAAGTGTATACAAACCAGCAGGAACCCATTAGCTCAAAACTAAAAACAGAACCTAATGTAAAGCTTAAGTTAAAGACAGGTCCTTGTCAGGGTTAATTAGTTGATGATAAGACTGACCTCGACTTGCCACCAAGAAAACAGAAGATAAACAAAACCATTGTGAAAATATGTTTGATTTAATGATTTCACAGGCATGAATTATCAAGTGAAACACATATCATGACATTATCAATACTATGTTATAAGACTTATGAACAACCATTTCAAGGAATCCATGTGGCGCGACAAAATATATTTTTCGGCAACATCGAGCATGAAACAAATCAAATACAGTCTCCCCATATTTTCTGTTGTTTACAAAATCATGAGAGGAAAAAAGTAGCTTCAATCAATCAGTGCATAAAGTAGGGCAAACAGGTACTAACTTTATCTTTCTCATCCAATGACAAAGCATACGACCGCAAAATTGAAATAGATTAAAGAAATTTTATTAAAAGTGAAGACGAGTGAAAATGATATGCTGATCAAGTCAAAGCTCTTGCTTCTGTACCCGATAAGAGAGCGCTGCCGTCGCCGATATCTGAACGGGACCACCAGAATCGATGAGTGGATGAGTTCCTTTCCTACTTCTGAACCAAAGTACCGATGAGAGTTCCGGGACTCTGGTAGATTAGGGAGAGACGGAGTGTGAGTGAGAGACTCGTGAGGGAAGACGTTAACTCTGAGGTGAATTGCTGAACCGTGAACCGTGTAGATTGGCGAAGGCGACACCCAGGAGAGACGACTGATATTTTGAATATAATTAATTTTCTGTCATTGCCAGCGTAATCTAAAGGAGAACAGGTCTGAAGATCAATTAATTTAATTAAATTTTAATTTATTTAAAATGTCCAATTTTAAGAATTTTTAAATTTAACTTTTAATTTCGTAATTTTATTATAATAAATTTATAATTTATATTTTAAATTTTAAAATAAAAATAAATTTATTTATTTTCTATCATATTAAAATGAAAAAAAGTTATAAATTTATCATTATAAAATATAAAATTAAGAAATAAATTTGTAAATTCTTAAATTTAGCATTTTAAAATTAATTAAAATCTAATTTAAATTAATTAATTTTCTAAAAAACTACTTTTTTTGTTAAAAAATATAAAATATTTTAAACCAAATCTCACCCAAAATAATTACTTATTTTCAAACTTATTCTATCTTTCTACATTTACTTTTATTTAATATAAAATTTTATTTTAAAATAAATATAAAATACTTTATTAAATGGAGGCACTTTTAAAAAAAATAATAATTATACCTTAAAAAAATAAAAATATTTTATATTTTTAAATATTTAATTTTTTAAAAATATCTTATATTTTTTAATTGAGTGAATATACATGATTAGCCCTAATTTAAATTAAATTAAATTATATATTTTTTGAAAGTCAAAACTCTTTGTTTTTATATTTTCTCGATGCGGCTCCGTCACTACCGTAGGCATCGGAGCCTCCTCGAAGGAGCGTTCCATGAGAATCCAGTAGCTTAATTGCAAATATGTCTTTTTGACCAGTTAATTGCGAGTATGTCTACTTATATGAATTAAGGTTTTTGAGTTTAAACTCTAAGAATGTAAATTTATATTATAAATTCATAAAAATTTACTTCTATTCACAAACAATCATTAAAATATGATCATAACTTAATTTAAATATATTAAGAATATAAATAATTAAAATTAAATTTATTTATATTAATAAATTATCATATATGATATAAGAGACATAAAAATTTTAAAATAGGAAAACTTATTTTTAATATTTTTTTTTTTTATTAATATTATTTTTGCATTTCAAGTTTTTTTTTGAATTAGATTCTATAATTTTCATGAATTCAATTCTTTATAATATATATTTAATTTTCTTAACTAAAAAAAATTAATGAATTTAACAAGTTTAATCAAACTTAAATTTAGTTTGAGTTTATGAATTTATTGATACAATTTTATTAGTTAAAAAATTAAAAACAGTAAATTCAAAGGTGAACTTATAAATTTAATTGAATTTGTATTTAATTTGAGTATATGACTTTATTGACATAATTTTATAAGTTAGTATTATAAAAATATTAAATTTATAAAGTCAAGTCAAAAGTTTAATAATTATAGTATAAATTGTAAATAATCATATATATGTGCGGCTGCGCGCTTGCTTGTATGAATGATGTTGATTAAAGGGTTAAAGAAAAATTTGTTCTAAAACTATAATTCTAGGATGTGTCAATAAACTCGTTTTTGATAAAATATTCTGCTTCAATGTTTTAAAACAATGCAATATTTCTCCTCATGTTAATAAATATTAATTGATCACGAAATTATAAAAAATAATATAAAAATTAAAGAAAAGAATCACCAAACTTTTTGTAGATCCATTGATACAATTTTTGGATCTTTATCTATAATTTTTAGTTACATTTTATAATTTTTTAATATTTTTTTATAATGTTTGATATCTTATTTTATAATTTTCTGGTTAAATTATGATTAAAATTAAATTTTATTAACAATAAAAATAAGTGAATGACATCATATTATTTTTAAAAGTTAAAAGAGAACATTATAATAAAAATTAGTTTAGGACCTCACACACTTTTGAATAAATAATTTAAGGGTGAAATTATTCTTTAACCCAAAATTAAATTCTCTAAAAATATTAAAAATGAATTTAAAATTTTAAAAATGTTAATTTTTAATTTATGAATTTTTTTATAATTAGATTAGATTAGATTAGATTCTAAAATCTTGTAGATCAAATTATTGAGGTTTGCATGGGAGAAATATTCCTTTCCACCATCGAAAATGTGTCTCAGTAGAATGACAATTATTAGAAAAAGGGAGAATGACAATTAACCAAAAAAGAACTAAAATTATTAAAAGGGAGAATGATAATTAAGGACCTGCTAAGAACATTAATCTTAATTATGGACCGTGAAATTTTGAAATCCGAGTTAAGGACCATGGTCCTTAATTGTGATAAAAAAATGAGATTTGTGAGGTGGGATTCACTAACGCGACTTGGGAATTCACTAACCCAACTTGAGAAAATTATTATCGTATATTGTGAAAACATGAAACCCCACTTAGAAATGGAATGTTTAACAAAAAGCGTCACTTGAAAATTCACTAACTAGACTTTAAAAAATTTCTAACGTATATTGTGAAAAAATAAAACCCCACTTGAGAATCATTAATAAAAAGTGACTTATCCAAATTGGTGTTTTTTATTAAACAATCGATTCCCAAGTGAAGTTTCATGTTTTCATAATATACGTTAGAAATTTTTTCAAATTTAGTTAGTGAATTCTCAAGTGGCGCTTTTTTAAACATTCCATTTCCAAGTGAGGTTTCATGTTTTCACAATATACGTTACAAATTTTCTCAAGTTGGGTTAGTGAATTCTCAAGTGACAATAATGAATTCCACCTCACAAATTTCATTTTTTTTATCACAATTAAGGACCATGGTCCTTAACTTGGATTTTAAAATTTCACGGTCCGTAATTGAAATTAATGTTCTTAGCAGGTCCTTAATTATCATTCTCCCTTATTAAAATTTACTGGCAATTGGAATCTCAATCAACAATCTATTCCCTCAATTAGAGACTTACATCTCTCTATCATTGAAGTTTTGGTTCAACAATCATTAAAACTTCAAGCTCATCTATTACATAGGAGATCCATATTCACAAGTTCAAGAAAAGGAAAAAAACTTAGGCTTTATTTGGTTCATTAAAATCCTTTTGATAGAATTAAAACTATAAAAAGAAATGGAATTAGAACCTAAAGAAGAAATGGAAATAAATTTTGAAAGTACGCTTGGTATGAATGAAAAAATAGGTAGAATTTTTTTTTGAATATACCATTGAAATTAATTTTAAAATATGAACAGACACTATCATCCATCCCTCTTCCCCACAATTCTTCCTCCCTGTACATTGGATTTGGCAACAGTCTCATCATGAAAAAGAAATTGAAGCAATCTCATTCTAAAAATACAATAAATCAATACATTACAACTAATTAATTTTCTTCTTCTTCAATTCCCAGAACCATCAAACCTCTACCAATCTTCTTCTTTTTCTCCTTCAAACCTATCAAACCCACAACCCACAACCTCAATAATGGCCGCCGATGTGCTTCTTCTTCAAACCCCAGAACTATTAAACCTCTATCGATTTTCTTCTTCTTTGAACTCCTAATCCATCATACCCAACACCCATAGCTTTAATAGTGGCTGTTGATCTACTTTTTCTTCGAACCCTTGACCCATTGAACCCAAACCCATAGCTTTAATGTTCGCTGATCTTCTTCTTCTTATTCAAACCTAGACCCATTGAACCCAACCCTACAGCTATCTAACTTCAAGTAAAAATTAAGAGTGGCAATTAGAGAACATGATGAAGATGACAATGATGAGGGGTGACTATGACATTAGGTGATGAACCAAGAAAGTTGAAGAGGTGGTACAAGAGAGCAGAATGATAAAACGATATTTTGGCCAAAATAAAAAAATTCTTAAGAAAATAAAATTTTCCTTGACTATAGCTTATAAACCCAATTTCCATTCTCTCTCCTGAAATTTGATTTTTGGTGAACTAAATTCTTGTCAACCAAATGAGTGAATTTTCAATTTTCTCTTCCTTTTCCTTTTCTCATATCTAAATTCCAGTGAAGCAAATGGACCCTTATTGTTTTGTGAAAATCTCTCTCAACTTTGTATGTAACTTCTATATGAATCACGATGAACTTGGGAAAGCTAGTTACGAAGTTCAACAATGGTCATTTATTCTCCACCAAAAGTCAATACCTGATAAACCAAGATATTAAGTATATCTTAAATGTGTTTTTAAATTATCAATTTTTTTTATTACATGGCCACAGTAAAATCATATAAGAAGACCAAAGTCATAATATCAGGTTATATCAGAAGCCAAAAAGCTTTTACAATCTGCAGGTGGTCCGTCAAAAAAGATAATATCAAAATGTTCTTTTGAAGCCTCATGGGCTAGAAGATTGGTGCAGTGGTTGGCTTCTCTATAGGCGTGATCAAAGGTAATTGACACTACTGTCGAATAGCACCAAAATTAATAAAAACTAGATTTTACAATAAAGCGCAACCTAGGTCATTTCCATGAGAGTCAATAAAATAACTATTTAAATTATGATTATGAAAAGCTAAAAAGTGAGAGGAATTTTTTATAATAAAATTAATTAAAAATATAAATTAAAATTAAATAAATAAAGAAAATTCAACTGAGAAAATTATCAAGAACAAGCAGCACAATCAATCATAACCCTAATCACCTAAACTTAATCTTCCTCGTCCACAAAATAAATCAATTTTATTTAACTTTATTATTATAGTTTTATTATTTATTTCTCAAATTATCATTCAAGAATTAAACAAGAAATTAAGTTATAGATTAATTAAGATCTCTTTTAACTTACAACCTAACAACTATTCCATGTTAGCCATACTAAGAATAAAGCATAGATAATTACCCAAGTTAAGTCAAATTACTCTTACAATGCTATATCAATTAATTATAGCAAGCAAAACCTCATATAAAATTTATAATCCAAAAATTATGAAAAAAAACTACTCTAATCAACAATAGTAGTTAAACATAAAATTCAGAAGTAAAGAGAAGGAGATCAAATTGAAATAAAGTTAAAATAAAATTTTTTTTGAATATTAAAGACTCTAATTAAAATTTAGGATTATAATTTGTGATTGATCACATA